ACAAACACACACACACACACACATACATCTCTCTGGAAAGAAACACAGAGAACAAGAGAAAGGAAAGCAATAAAGAAAAGACAGTGAAAAGTACTAAAAAAGGAAATGAAGAAAGAAGAGAGGAAGGAAGGAAAAGGATAGGAAAAAGAGAGAAAGAAAAAAATAAGAAGTATGATAGATGAGCAAAAGTGAAGTCTTAATTTCATTAATGCTAAAGCTAAGAACCAGGACCTAGGTTAAAGTTACAGGAAGACCCCATGTGAGAATTTCTTAAAAAATAGAGATTCTTCAGCGGAAATGGATAGCCTTAAGAAGTAGTACCCTCTTTAGAGCAACTGTTGAAGTAAAAGTGGATAGTCACCTAACAACGATATGTTGAGGGATTTTCTGCATTGCTGATAATAATATACTAAATGACTTACAACTCTATCCTAGTACTAAGATTCTACCCTTTAACATTCATTGTGAAGATTTTCACTGTCACAAATACATGTGTGTGGGAGTGTGCTCTTGCTCTCTCCCATCTCTTTCTTTTTGACCTAAACACACACACACACACACACACACACACACAGTTAAAACTTAATTAGGATCAAAATAATTAACTAGAGGGATGCCTGGGTGGCCCAGTTGGTTAAGTGTCCAACTTGGGCTCAGGTCATGATCTCACGGCTCGTGGGTTGGAGCCCCTCATTGGGCTCTGTGCTGACAGCTAGCTCAGAGCCTGGAGACTGTTTCAGATTCTGTATCTCTCTCTCTCTCTTACCCTCCTCTGCTCATGCTGTCTCTCTCTCTCTCTCAGAAATAAATTTTTAAAAAACATTAAAAAAATTTTTTTAATAATTAACTAGGATCATTTATAATTCTTTCAGGTATTTATATGCATCAGAACATAACATGCATCCTAATGTGAATAAAATCTCCTTTGTTCACTAACTCCATGATGTACTTTTCTTATTTTGCCATATAGTTCCTGTTAAACTATTTGAGATTCAGAAGATGTAGTAATCAGAAAGGGTTGTATTAAAACCATTTTCAAAAATGTGGTAATCTATTCAACAATCATTTATTTTGAAGGTCAAAGCTAAGATTTTGAAGGCTTAAGAAAGGATGTATATCAGAAATACAATTCTACTGAAAACTATACTGAATGCACAATTCTTTACTCAAGAAACATTGCTTGAGCCTTCATGTCTTTCGGTTAGTCTCTGATCTGACAAACTCCAGAAGATATTATTTCCCTGACTATTTATTTCTTTCTCTGACTTTTTAGAATCAGAAGTAAAAATCAATAGTTGCCCTCTGTGTTCTAAAATTAGTTTTTCTTATGTGAAGAAATAAGTGTATTTTCCCCTTTATGTTTCTTGGTACTACAGTGTTATCACAATATGCCAAATTCAGATGTTATATAAACTCAGGTTAAGAAAACAAATTTGTGAAATATGTTCAAAACAAATTCTTGAGGTTTCATGTATTGATGCCATATTTTAAAATAAAATTCCATATGGTGCTAGCCTTCTCTGAAAATAGAAAATGCAGCATTTGGGATATATATTGACCTATAAATTATTTCCCACATCCTCTGCTTTAATTCATAACTGTTTAAAATGTGTGTCTAGTGTATATTATGCAGCTCTTTTGAAAAACAGTAGATTAATACATAGTATGGTTCAGAAAATCCAAATTATGTAAAGCACTTTTCTCTGTAAAATAACATAATAAAAAATGTGTGCATAAAATATGAAAACTCTAACAGGACAATATGGGAAACTTGACCATTAGGGGAATGATCTGATAAAGTAGAAACATAATTGACTATTTTTCCATGAAAGTAATAATTATGGAGACTATGTGAAAATATAGAATAGGTTTTCAAATACGTGGTTAAAAAGAGTTATATAAAATTATATATATTTTGCAACTATGTAAAATATATTTACATATAAAAAGGATGTGCAGAAATGAAGAAATTTTAGAGTTTATACAGTTCTTGGACAGCGAAGTCCATATGTAAGTGAAGAATTTATAACTAGATTGCTTAGAAAATAACATAATCAGTAGTACTTCCAAGAGTAGTTAAAGAATATGTTTTCTTTATTTCTATTTTATAGAAATATAGGAAAGGACTCATAAAATTTAAGTGATATACCTATACTATTGATTGGAGAATTGGAAATAGAAAAGTTAATACCTACATGTTAATCAATAGTCATTCTAAAAATTTTTTTTTAATGTTTTATTTATTTCTGAGAGAGAGAGAGATACTGTGAGCAAGGGAGGGTCAGAGAGAGATGGAGTCACAGACTGAAACAGGCTTCAGACTCTGAGCTGGCAGTCAGCACAGAGCCCGACATGGGGCTTGAACCCACGAACCGTGAGATCATGACCTGAGCCAAAGTCAGACACTTAACCGACTGAGCCACTCAGGCACCCCTAATCAAAGTTATTCTAATATGCTTCCACAGTTGAATTTATTATCAGTTTTACAAAGATTATATCATTTGACCTTGAGTGGTAAATAATTATGTGGCAAAATGTAGTACACTGGTAATATTATTGCCTTATGACATTGCACATTAAACTAAAAGTTAACCATAAGATTGTATACATGAACAGGACATTTTTAAAAATCATAATGAATTGTTATATTTAAGTCAACTTTTAACTTTATGTATGATTCATCTTAAAGTTATAATTTTTCCATAAAACTCCATTAATACACTATTATACTATAATTCAAAAACATTAATGAAATTTACTAATGGTAGTTTATTAGTACTGAATGAGGCTCAATTTAAATATGAATTATCTAAGCACTTTTTCTTATTTACCATGCTATCCACTTCTGTTTTAGCTTATAGCACAAACTCTTCTGCTTTTTAGAGACTTCTATAATTATCATCACTCATTTTTAAGAATATATTTTAGTGCAACAGTAATGTTTTCATTGAACAGCTGGAAGAGTTTTAAATATAATTTCTAAAGCACTTATTTCCTTAGGAGAACCAAACTTGTCATTCTCACAAATTTAAGAAATACTTTATCCTAAGATGCAAAGGCAACATTCAGAAACAAAATACCAAACTTAATACTTGAGGCTTTGTTAGAAATTTAAAGCATATTTATTTTAATCATAGAGAATCAATTTTTTCAAATTCTATTCTCACCTGCAATTGGCTTATTTGAATAGATTTCTGGAAATGAGTTGGAAAGACATTGTGAGTTCATAATGATAATTCCAATATGAGTTTATTATTACAGAGTTTTATGTACCTTCATTGATCTGATATCTGTATCTCCATTTCCTGTTGAAAAAAAAAATAAACAGACCTAGTCCTCAATAACACCAAAGTAACTACTCATTTGCTTTAACCCTCAACATACACACACACACACACACACACACACACACAAACAGATTCAGATTTACAATACAAATACTACCAACAACAATATCAATACTAAAAACAATTTAATAATTTTTGCAGATTGTTTTAAGATTATCTCTTTGGGTTATATGCCAAACTCCTATCTTTTAAAGTCACTTTAAGTAGTTACTCTTGGAAGCTATGCCTCAATACACAGGTTTCATTTTTCTTTTAATTTTTTGAGATTGATTTTTAAATACTTTGCTTTCTAAGCATTTAACTCTTGACAGGATTCCAAAGTAAATCTTCAAGGGGAAGCATATTGAGATTTCAATCTTCTAACCTTATTGTGTCCATACTCTTGCCTCCCACTCCTAAGGTTGACTATTATTATTTCTTTATTCTTAGGCTTATCTTTACATTGTTTTTTATATCTTTTCCCATCTTACTTTTTCCATTTAAAAATATATCCTGAAAAACCTCCATATTTATATGGAATATTTATAGTCATAATTCTCTGGTGAATGTAGCATAGTTTTTCAACCAGTCTCTTTTTGATGGACAGTTAAATTATTTCCAATCCTTACAAATAAATTTCGGTGAGTAGTCTTATAAATATGTCACTTTGTGTTTGTTCAGTGTATCTTTGGGATAGATTCCAAAAAGCCCAAGTGTAAATGAACATATAATTTGCCTTAAATTGTTAATTTCCCGTCATAAAAGTTGTACCATTTTGCATTCCCACTGACAATGTACTAAAGTGCTTTTCCCCATAGCCTAGTCAGTAGAACCTGGTGTCAAATTTTTGGATTTTTGCCAATCTGATTGGTGAAAAATGGTATATCTCAGTATATTCAATTTGTATGTTTCTTTTTATAAGTGAATTTTAACTTCTAAGTAAAAACCTATTGTTTTTAAAAATTGGAATACTTAAAATGAGTATTTTGTTAGTGAAAATTATGATATATAATTCCAGTGAAATCTTGGAAGTTTAATATAAGATTACTTTAGGTTAGGATTGGGTTGTAAAAACAATGTTATATAGAGGGAAAAAGACATAATCCTGAAAATAAACTTCAGAAGTTAAATGTTTCAATTTTATTCAAATGTCACAAAAGAAATAATTCTCGCATTGGTATGTAATAATTTACTAAAGATAAGATGTTTGTAATGTAAAGTTTTATGAAGTACTAAGATTTTATAAAGTACTAAGTCTTGAAGAGAAGGAAAAGTCTATAAATGATCTTGTAATTTCAGAGTATTTTTTATAGCAGACTTAGATATGATAAAATATGGGATCCAAATGTATTGTACCTCATGTCATAGTCTAAAACCAAAGCCATTTTAAAGAAAAATGTCCTCCTCTAACAAAGATGAAGATGATGAGTTCTGGCTCTCATTGTTAGACTATTTGAGTATTTCCTATATTCCCTAATAGTGTTTCTAAATATATTTTAATACTTTATTTGGATTAAATAGAGTAGATCCTGAGCCTTTCTTATTAATATGTCATCAACAGTTGCTATTCTTTTCAACAAGAATTATATTTTCCTTGGAAGACAAAATATTAAAGAAAGGATTATAGAGAATGATTCCTGCCAATTAATTCTTAGTTATTTTCTTTCCTTTCAGCACCTTCCCTGATAGGTATGGTAAGGAAGGACTGGGCATCCCAAAATAGCATTGCCCTATCATGGCAAGCACCTGCTTTTTCCAATGGAGCCGTTCTGGACTACGAGATCAAGTACTATGAGAAAGTAGGTCTTATTTGGAGCTTCCTAAAAAACTACATATACATATATATGTATATATTGAGCCTGTTGTTATATTACTTTACTTAAAACCTGTTCTTTGCCATAACCTCATACTTACTATGTCTTTGAAAACTCTCTAATTTACTATTGTGCTTATACTTTTCTGAATTTGTCTTGTTTTATATCCGATTATAAAGTTAGAAGACATGAGATGTTCATCTCTGTCATGATTTACTTACTATAGGGATTCTTCCAACATAGTAAAAGGTAGTAACTCCTTCAACTAACAGTTTAGCTGACATAACATTGTTTCTAAAATTAACTTGGAATACATAGTAAAATGGAATTGCTATAACTTAAAGAGAGAGTTTGTGTAGCTCATATTGTTTGCCAATGAGTTTAAAGTTACAGTTAACTATAATTTGGAAAGAATGAGTAAGGGATAAATGGAAATAGCTGATGAATTAAAATGCTTCTTTATATTTAGATCAGTTGTTTTACCTTTTTAAGAAGCAAGATAAATCTGATTTATAAATCAACTTAATCTTAATTTTAATTTTTGTAATTTAAAATTGTTCTTAATTATTATATCTTCCCAAATTATATACTTCCTTACCTTTCTTGTATTCACATTCTTTCTATATGTTTTTCCCCTTATTCCTCACTATTATGATATTGTTGCTATAGATATTATAGCAGAGGACATAGAAATTCTAGTACGTCTCATTGTGCCAATACTGCTCTGGAATATTGACAAAGGGAACATTAAAATTTTTAAAATAATGTAAAATTATGTATAATTTCTAATTGTCTACTAAAGTCAGAAGGAACTTCTTGCATTTCTGAAACTTACTAGAACCAAAGGAACGTCATAAATAAATTTTGATTTCCCCTGAAGAAATATAGGACAAGAACAGAATTAGAAGTCTATGTTGTTCTCTTCTATTGCTTCTGAACAAATGTACGTTTGAAAAAGGAAGAGGTAACTCTGTAGCCTGCCTGTACCCATTTTTGACCTTCTAGTAATTTCAGCATTATGTGGTCAATGAAAACTGTCATTATCATGAACTCACATAAGTAATTCCATAGTCTAAGAAAAGAGAAATTTACTGAGTTTTAATTAGATTTCAGATTGTGCACATTAGCCGAGCCAGCATGTGCTCGGAAACCCTGTTGCTCTCCTTTCAAATGTTACAACCTCTAGCATGCTGTCACAAAGAAAACATATTTTGTGTCTACTAGATTAAATAGATCTTTAGGTATGCAAAAGTTCTCATTATTTAAAAAACAATGGGCACATATATATTAACAACTTTTCAGGATGAAAATATTCCTCTATGTTTTATAAAGGCTATATTTTGTACACAAAAAATAATTCTCATTTTATTGTCATTTATGTTTCAAATGTTTGAAGATGAAGATAACTTGTAATATTTCCAGTTAAGGACAAATCATACAGATTCTGTAAAAAGGGAACCATAATCATCCAACCAAAATTTTAGAAATCAGTAAGATTCTGAAAGATACTGACATATTTTTATGTTTTAATGGTGAAATAAATAATTTTATGAAGGAGTCTATTTTTTAAGAAGATGGCAATGATCTAGTGCCTATAGAGTCACTAAACATGTAGTAAACATAGAGTTGGAAGCCAAGGATTCCTGGTTCATGTTCTGATAATGACTCTCATTATGCCAGTGGCCAAGAAAAGTCAATTAACCTTCCTATGTCTCATACTTCACATTTGCAAAACGGAAATGAAGAAAGATATCAAGTCTTCTAGTGGGCTGCAAGGATCAATTTTATAAACAGACCCAAAGATGAAAATCAGTATTAGAAATCATTTAATTTAATTTAAGAAAGAATTAGGGAGGTGCCTGTGTGTCTCAGTTGGTTAAGCGTCTGACTTCAGTTCAGGTCATGATCTCACGGTTTGCGAGTCTGAGCCTTGTGTTCGGCTCTGTGCTGACAACTAGAGCCTGGAGCCTGCTTCAGATTCTGTGTCTCCCTCTCTTTCTGTTCCTCCCCTGCTCACACTGTCTCTCTCTCTCAAAAATAAATAAACCTTTTTTTAAAAACTTTTTAAAAAAGAATTAGGGAAATATTTGACATATAATACAACATAGAATCAGTATACAAAGGAATTGTATCTTTTCATATGTAGAGGCAACCAGTCAAAAGTGTTAGAATATCAAACCTTTCAGAGTGAGCATAAAATGATTGATAGGATTAAAACTTTTCACACCTATGCCTTCAGATTTAACTACATTTTACTTGTTAGCTTCTATAAAATTATTTCTCCATCCAAGCAAATATTTTTATAAAACTTATAACTAGGACAACTTAACGATAGAATTCCTAGTTGCAAGTGTTAATTTCCTTCTTTATTGGGAACCTAAATATTGTTCAGTAAGAAAAGCAAAATACAAAGAAATATATGTGCAAATGATCCTAATTTTGGAACACAAATATCCCCTCCTATGTGTATAAGTATGCATGGTTACAGAAATATAGAGAAATATAGAATGGAATAGAGTGTACACCCTGTTGTTTTGAATGTTGCCTGTTGAGTTGGAGTGCTATGGGGGACAGAAGTACATAAATGGAGGCAAGGAAGAGAGAGGGAAGTAGCAAGCTTAGATAAATATGGATGGATGGATGAATGGATGGATGGATGGATGGATGGATGAATGGATGGATGGATGGTTGGGTCCTAAATGTCATTGCCCGTAAGCAAGACCTGAGACAGGATTTTATTAGCAAGTGATTATTTTAGAAAGCTCCCAGGAAAACTGATTGAAGAATGGGGAAGCAGGACTATAAAAAAAGATGCCAGTCAAACTCAGTGACCAAAGGGAGCCCTGGAGTAAATTACATCTCAGAGTTCATCCTATGGAGATAAAAGAAGTTGAGCTCCCATGCTCTGACTCCAGTTAGTCATTGACTAAAGTCCTAATGAGGTATACAGAAAACAAAGTCATTGGCACTTCTGGTTCTCTGTAGTGGCTTTGGTGGCCCAAGTTTAGGTCTTTAAAGAAGATGCCAGATACAAACCATTAGAGTCAAAAAAACATAGGCACTGGTGGCGAGGAGTGGGAGCAGGAACAGATAAAGATGATCCAAAGGGATCCATCTGATAGTGCACCAACTATTAAGGTAGCTCAGTGCTCAGAGAGCTGTGAGAGAATTTTAATCCTCGGCTCACTGTAACTTTCATATTCTCCTCAGTCTTTAATACTGGTGCCTCAGTCTTTAATTTATGGCATTTTAAACCTTCCATTTCCGTTTAATCAAAGTCACTCTGTATTGCTAACTCATAATTAATCCACAAACAATCAATATTTACATTATTCTCTGAGGAATTTATGCTGTTTTATTAAGTTCTCCCTGAGAACATTATCCTATAAATCAGGAAAGAAGTTTGGTGCTTAGAATGTGCAGTGTCCACAAATATCTGAGGTCAAGCAACTCACTGCTGTTAGCAGTGACTTTTTCCTCAAAGAATGTGTAATATTAGAAAAAGGCATTGACCTGGGTGATCAAAAATTTGAGTTTGGCTCAGGTCTTAACTTTCTTACTCCATTTTATTTATCTGTAAAATAAGGGTAGAAAGATAATCTCATAGTTCTAGCTGTTTCCAGATGTTACTATGTTTTTATCCATATAGTTTATAGATATGTTATCCCATAACTCAAAAAACTTAGTTTCTCATTTATGTATGCTGAAACTAAATGCACACACACACATTGTAAAAGAAATTTTACCACAGGGAACAATATTCTTCACAGTATAATTATAGATAAAAATTAAGACCTAGCTACCATTGTCTTTCTACCTGTGTGTGATGAGAGGGTTATGGAGAAGAAAACATATTCCTTGTTGATTATAACTAATTAGATATTGTCTCATCAGTTAATTATACCCCCCCCAATTCTTAGTTACTTTTTCATACTCAAAAAATGTTTCATTTTTTTAAACTCAAGCAAATATAATTTGAATGACACTTAAAATAAATAATGAGAAAGTCAAATATATTACCAAAAAATTATATTTCATTTACTTACTAACAATACTTTTCTCCAAAAGCAGAGCCTACTCATAGTGAGGGAACTGTTAAAAAAAAAAAAAAAAAAAGACAATTTAGGTGATACAAGCACACTTTATTTAATACATCATGAAGTGGACAGTCTCCTTTTAGAGAACCACAATATGGGGTAGAAGGCAGGAAACTTTTATAGGATAAAGAACAAAGAGAAGAAAAGTAGAAAATATCTGATAGGGTGTGGCCACATATTTAACCTTGTTTGGGGTGGAAAGAGAAGAAGGAAAGAAGTGTAGAGTTGGCTTGGTGCTTGGGGATGGGCTGAATGGATATGCTGAGGTTTTGGTCAGAGAATTTACAGGGATACAAAAGTTGTATTTGGTTTGCTGATGTGGTACCCCAGGTGGGAAAAATTCCATTTTTGGCCTAGAAAGTTGTTTCAGCAAAACTAAGACATTATCTGCTCCCAACCCCCCAGTCTCCACCTCTCAAATTTGCAAACCCTCTTGGCAGTTATAAAATACCAAAAATTCCATTGACCATCACACATGCCCTCCTTATCTCTACTCTTCCCTCCTCTCTTTACCTTTTTTTGTTCACCTTCTTGAGTTTTCCTCTCCTTTTCTACTCTGCCCAAGGCACTTTTCTTTCTCCTACTTCTTTGTTCTTTTATGATATCTATCAAAGTTAGTCTTGATTAGTGTCATTCATATGTGTATCTGACTCTCTCACTAGTTTGTGAGCCCCTGAAGAAAAAAGGAGATCATTTCTTGTCTTTGTCACTCAATGCACAATCAGTGCCTAATGCTGAAACAACTGTTTGCTTTCAGTAATATCCTAAAGAAATTAATAAAAATCCTCTCTTTGTTCAGCACTCATTCCCAGAAAAGTGAGGAAAGTCACTCAGCCACTGTGAAATTAACATAGCAATTTAAAAAACAGAGAAAAAAGCCTCAAGAAA